TAAACCACAAAATAATGGGATAAAAATGATGAATTTTATAGGAATAATATTTTATATAATCAATTAGTTTTCTATCTTTATAAGTAGTAGTATTGTTCACAAATAAATTGGGGTTCATTAGGAAAACCATTTGAATTTGTCTGTAAAAAAAATAAAAAATCCTCTTAGAAATAGGTTTTTAGGAGTCATAGTAGTTGGATGTTGTTACCCCCACCCAAGTGTTAAAAAATAAGAAACTTCATTAACCATATCTTTAAACTGTTAAAAAAATAAGAGAGAATGTATATTGGAGCATACAGCTAGTTCAATACAGTGCATTAAAATAGAAACAAAAGATATAAAACTTATAAATAGACTGTCTATTTTTTTACTTTCAAGCATATCACCACCTTACATTCTGAATATAAAAATTCATGATTGGAAAGTGAAGAAAACTGGGGACAACTAATAAAAGAAACATAGATAACAAATGCTGTTAATAGGATTCTATTACATAGGATTTTTTCATTCATTCAATACAAGATACTAGTATCCTATTTAAAGGATTATGTAACCAATTAAAGTAAACAAAATATCAGTGTTTTACATTTGAGCCTAGATAAAGTTGACTCATGGATTAAGAGAAAAGGAAAAGTCATGGATTAAGAAAAGTAAAAGTCATGAATTAGGTACGTACTACTAATTTATGGAAATTGAAATTGCATATTATGAATACCATTGCATATAGTAGGATACATGTGCACAAATAAGAAAACAATACTAGAATCTAGAAAGATTGTCCATGATAAAGTAGTAGCAATTGGTGACACAACTCTCAACCAATTAAAACCATGTTCGTTGCCAACGTGGATTTATGTGCAGGACTGCTACAATTGACAGCAACACAATCACATAAGTAACCATGAAGCTGATGTAGAAAATATCCATATCTATGGAACTGCATTCTTTTTCTTCATCTAAGGAATCTGGCACCTTTGGTTGTGAATTGGTTTCCTTGCAACTTTTATCCAATGGGGGTCCACAAAGAAGGGGGTTTCCCTCATAACTGCTCTTTTCAAAGGTCCCAAACTGTGCTTTTCCATATGGGATAGTGCCTGACAGGTTATTGTGTGCAACACTAAAAACTTCCAAAGAGTTGAGTTCAATAAGTTGAGATGGAATCTCACCATTCAAGTCATTGAAAGAAAGGTCTAAACTCTCGATTTGCCTCAAACTTGAGAAGGTGGATGGAATGGGTCCCGTTAGGTTGTTGTGAGACAAGTTAAGTGAATGGATTTCACTCAAGTTTCCCATTTCAGGTGGGATTAAGCCTGTTAATTTGTTGCAGGAGAGATCAATTCCAGACATATAATTAAGAATATGACCTTCAAAAGTGTATAAGCTCCTCTTTGTTGTAAACTCTACCTCATCTTTTGCATGACTAATTCGAATACTAAATACTATTGCCACTTCATCTACCACCTCCACCATCATTGTTGTATTTTCCCAGTTTTTGAATGATTGATCTTTGAGTTCAAAGAAAGTTATAATTGTGCTCAGATCTCCCTCAAAAAAATACCCTGGTCTACTTGGTTTAAGAGTTAAATGACTCAAACAAGAAGGTATAGAACTAGAAAGCTGATTATGAGATAGATCAATCATGCTCAATTGTTCCAACTCACATACTTCAATGGGAATTTTACCAAAAAAGTGATTATCTTTTAGTAGCAAAATACTCAACTTAGAAAAGTTGCCAATCCATTTTGGAATTCCTCCAGTAAGGTCATTTTGTCTTAGATCTAGTATCACCAAAGAAGATATGTTGCAGAATGAATGTGTCAATGAACCATTCAATCTATTTTTGCTTAAGTAGAGATGTGCTATGTTTAATGGATTGGAGCAAGATGGTAAAGAACCAGAAAGATTGTTCTTAGAAAGGTCTAGAAATTGAAGCGCAGTATTATAGCAAAATTCCTTTGGAATTGAACCCTCGAAATAATTGTTAGACAAAACCAAGCTACCTAATTGAGTGAAATTTCTTATCCATCTCGGAAGGTTGCCTGACAAATGGTTGTTGCTTATGTCCAATACTTCTAGAAATGAAGAGCTAGAAAGTTGAGGTATCTCTCCTTCCAAATTATTTCCATCTAGATATAAGTATTGAAGTGATTGTGAGTTGAATATGGTTGTAGCTATTTTCCCACTGAGGTTGTTATTGGAAAGTTTGAGACTATATAATGAGTTTCCCATAGCTAACTGGTCTGGCATTGAACCGAAGAATTGGTTGTTGGATAGGTCCAAAATTTGTAAAGAGTTCATCCCACCCAACCACTTGGGAATTTTGCCTTTAAGGGCATTTCCAGACAACAACAATTTCTCCACAAATGGAAAAACTAAACTGATATTTGATGGGATTTGACCTTGTATTTGGTTGTTGGAAATATCTATTCCTAAAACATCCAGATTAGGATGTGATGGCAAGAGGAAAAGACCCAAAAAAGAGTTATTTGTCACAAGAAAAACTTGTAATCTCGTATTGTTTTCGAATAACCAATAAGGCAAGGCTCCCCCAAATTTGTTAAAAGAAAGATCAACAAGTTTCAAGTCATATTGGTTATAAAGGAAGCTAGGAGGTTTGATTAGTTGTTCTTTTGCCCTGCAGTTTGATAGGCTGAAGATACTCGGTTGGAACTTTGAAACCCTTGTTTGAGCATGATCATGTTCTGAGACTAATTGATTGAAATCACCCAAGAAGACTTTCAAGTTGGAATGGTTTGCAAATGACTTGAATGAATCTGGAACTTGAAAGTGATTGTTTGAAATAGAGAGATATCGTAGCAATGTAAGATGAGTTAGGGGAGAGGACGCAACATTTCCAATGAATTGATTTTGGGAGATATCCAAAAGTCGAAGAGAGGTCAAATTACCCAAGCAAGAAGGCAGAATCCCTGACAGTTCATTTCGACGAAGATTGAACTCTTTAAGGTTCTTCAAATCACACCAACCTTGAGTAGGTAATGTACCAGTTAGGCCACATCCTTCTAAAGATATTGACTTGAGAAAAGTGAACACACCAATGCGTTGTAGAAAGTTGTTGTCAAGATGGGAGTTGTACAAGAAAAGCTCCTCTAGATTGCTCAAAACATGCAGGTCTGTAAAATTGTAATCATATTTCATAGATATTAAGAAAATTATTTTAAAAGGAAAGAAACACTATGATTGTTGAATGACACGTGTCACTTACTTTGATTAAGCATGGTTTTGTTAATATTGTTTTCGGATAAAGATAGGGTTTTTAGTGATGGGAATGCCACTAGTGATAGTTGCTGCAGTTGAACACCACTGTCATTGTATTGATCATAATCATCATTGTAGTCATAATAATAACCACCTAAATGAAGGGACTTTAACTTGTTGAAACTTGTATTGGCTGTGGGTGAAAAGAAAATGAAGATCAATTCCAATCTAATAGAAACATGTAATTAATTAAAGAGTAAATGGTTTTATCAACAAAGGTGAAGCGAATAACATAGTCACAGTTTCATTGAATTAATACCTTTAGTGGCAGCCACAAATTGGTTGAGCATGTTGTAACTCATATCTAGTTCTTCTAAGTTGCTCAAAGCATCGAATTCTAGGAGAACCACAAAGAATTAAAGTTGATTAGATCTCTCATAAGGAAGGGATCCTTGCTTTCAAAGTTTTAGCAAGAAAAAAGAAAATTAATAGATGTCTAAACTTACCTCTAACATCTATCAATCCTTTTATTTTGTTAGATGCTATATCTAGAGATTTTAGATTTGAGAATTTATTGACAAAAGATAGCACACTGTTGTTGAAGAAATTATGACTCAAATCAAGAACCTCTAGATGGAGAAACCTCAAACTTTCTTGTTCTTCTGTAAAAACAATATGTTTTCTCATTACAATTGATCTTATGCCTATTTATTAACAATAAAATTGGAAAATCAAATATATATATACCTTGGGAAGATTCAAGGATTTCAATTTCATTCCAGCTCATGTCTAATCTCTTCAAATTTATCAGCTTGCTCAATCCTAGTTTAGTGCACCATAAAAATTTAAAATAATAAAAAATCTGTTGAAGGTTGATCAAATATATAAAGATAACATTTTTTTAAGGAAAAAAATATAACAAAATAAAAGGAAAAATGGTAGAAAGTAAGCTTACCTCGAGTGCTAACGGTACCTTTTAGTCCACATTGGGATATGATTAGGGTTTTCAAAGATGAAAAGTTACTTAGATAGGATAGGGTGTTGTTTTGTAAGTAATTTCCACTTATATCAAGATATTCCAAATTGGGAAGTCTTGATAGCTTTTCAAAATCAATTCCTGCAAAAAAATATTGTTAATTAAATTAATCGATAATACAATGCAATCTCTTCCTTTTTTTTTCTAACCATAGAACATCTAGTTAAACTGTACTATCCATTTGGTTGGATATCTTAAAGTTGTTTTGGGCTAGCGTTAGAGATTTGAGAGATGAAAGTTTACTTAAAGATAACAATATATTATTATTAAAGAAACCCCCACTCAAGTCAAGGATTTCCAAATTTCTTAACTTCCTTGGAAGCCTATAGAAACCTGCAAAGCGTTTGTGCAGGAATTATTGATCAATATTTTTAAGTTGACATATTGAGAAATTCCAAATTGCAAAGTGTTGACAACTTTTCAAAATTAATCAGTTGCCATAAATTAACAATCAAAACATGATATTGCTAATTAAATTAATGAATATCATCTCTACCACTCTTGTGAACTATACATATATATGTGTGTGTGTATATATAATATCAAATTAAAACCATACCATTTATATGGTTTGATGTATTTATGTTGTTCCAGCTCAGATTTAGAGACTTGAGAGACATAAGTTCACTCAAAGATGACAAAATGCTATTATTGAAGAAATTCTCACTCAAATCAAGGATTTCCAAATTAGTCAATTTCTCAGAAAGCCTATCAAAACCTGCAAACAAATAAGGAGAATTACTTACTAATATACATATTGAAATATGCGTTAATATATAATCACAAAATTGAGTTGAAATTAAGGTAGAAAAGGAACCTTCATTTTCAATGCAATCAGCTATGCTATTCTCAGGCAAGTAAAGACCTTTCAATTCCTCAAATGGAAGAAATAAAGAGGTATTCAAATACCAGTAAGGACGGCTATTATATAATCCAGCCCTTGTGGAATTAAGATAGAGTGCAATAACACGTCCAGTGGAGGGGTTGCACTCGACCCTTTCCCATTGACAACAATCTGAATTGTGATCTCCTCTCCCCCAATTTCTCAAAGGTCGACCATTAAAAAATACTTTGAGTTGTAGGAGAGCAGTTCTCTCTTGCTCCAAACAACCACCGCAGCACCAACATTGTATTAATAGTGGAATAAGTACTGTACACAACCAGTACTTGAGCCCCATCTAGCTAATTATATCTATTTTCCTGTTTTCTGAAAATTAAGTTATGCCGTAGAGCTAGCTGAGCTTTGTCGGGTATATATATAGAATCAGTAGGCAAGCTAGCCAAACCAGGTGCTTCTTCTAAAAGTTTTTTATCTTAATTTCCACGAATTTTCCTTTTCTTTTTCTTTTTATTTTTATTTTTTGGTAAATTCTTTTTATGTCTTTGTTTTACTTTGTTATGGTCATGTTGTATTCTTAGTGGAAGACTGACTTGTCAATGGAAGACTTTGACGTTCATTGTTGCGTTTTCTTGTGGAATATATTTTAGGAAGACATTTACTCATTATCACTTTTCTTAATATTCAGCAATGTGAAATTAAAAATGGTCATCTTAAACTTTTTCTTTGTCTATGCTGTAAAAAAATTTTGAAGGTAAATTTGGGCATTGGGCTTTTTTTTTTTTTTTTCTCCTACATCTAACATTCTTGTTGAGGCTTGAAATCTGCTGTTCCTCAAACATATTTGGAGTTTGTGGTGGCTCCGCCATGACTGGTTTTGGGCTGTGAATTTGTGAGGATGTGGTTTGTTGGTTAGGTAATGTGTCCCGCTGCTGGTCCCAGTACTTAACTATTTGTTCCACAGATTCAACATTTAAAAATTAAATATCCAAATCAAATTTGAAAAATCAAAAAACGTGTTTTTATGGATGGTATCAATAGAGACATCAAGGATTCTGCAACATCTTTAGATGTTGGGTGCAAAGTGAAAAAACTGGGGACAAGTGACAACAGAAACAGGGAAGCAAAATGCTGTTCGTGGAATTCTATATGGTATAGGATTGTTTGGTTAATTCAAGAGGATTTAAATAGTAGAAAGGGGTGGTGTTATAGAAACAATTTTTTTATAATACTTTTTAATACAACTTTCATGTGTTATTAAATGATTGAATGTATTTAATATCACAGATTTCATATAAATAAAAAAATCAATTATTTAAATGAAACATCAAATTATATTAAAAAATGGTATAAAAAATTACCTCAAAATCATTTTTCAAGTAAAAAGGATGCGTTGGGCCATGAATGGAGATTCCTAATAATCTACATATGTTTAGATAAAATGTACCTTTTTTTATTATTATTTTTTATTTTGAGTTACATATTCAAAGATAATTTTTTTCATTT